GATGAGAGATAATTGTTCCTATTATGATTGGCTGTATCAATCATTGTGATTGAATGTTTCAATCTTATTCTACTTTGTGATGTAATTGAATGTACTGTAAGGTGAGACCACACTCGAATCTGAAGACGCCTATTGATTTAAGTATTGACCAGAATTATTATTAGACTAATGTTTTAAGTTTATCAAAAATGATAAAAAGAGAGGAACTGTTAAGGAATAATTCTTCCAGATATCTAACCTTTTGCTCTGTGACGTTTTATGATCTACTCTGACGTCTGTTATCTCCTTTAAGGAAAGGCCTTGGTGCCATATGTGTTGTTGTCCCCAGTGTGAGACCGGTCAACTTGTCTGGCACGAATGGTACTTGTTGTGAGAACGCTGAGGCACTTCTTTATCGGTGTTTGTGGACTCTAAGGTGTGAAATCTTTGAGGCCATGAGTGTCGGACGCAGGTGGCTCAGTGTTCCCAGCTGTTTAGTCTACTCCTTCAGAGATGTTGATTACTCTCTGTGAACCAGTTAAAAGGTCTAACATAGAGAGAGGCTCTTCAGAATTGACGTGGCAACTCTCCCGTGAAGTCAGACCCTCTGACTCGTGATTTGTGATGTGAATCCTCCGGCCGATACTCTGAATAAACCCATCAGTGTTTGACATCAAAAGCTCCAACTCTCACCGTGTCTCCTTCCTGAGTCGGTGACTCCCAATGCATTGCTACACAGAAGTTTCCCCCACAAGTTGTTTTCCTGAATGATTCTTCAAATGCATTTGGGAAGGAAGAATTATGTGTTTTGTTGTTTTTTTGTTTGTTTTTTCACCAGTCAGACATTATATCTTTATTTGTACTTCTATTTGCAGTGCTGCTACAGAACGCCACTTTTGTCTTTATGTGACACTCCCACTTCCCAGTTATGACCCAGCCTAATTTAACAGTACTGTCTGATGGGGGTGACATTAGATTTACCAGCTTTAACTGTAAAGGACTTAATAATCCTATCAAACGTAGCAAGGTTTTACACCATCTCCACCACTTGGGTGCCCACGTAATCTTTCTACAAAAAACTCCTCTTAAGGTTATTGATCATTAGAAATTAAAGAGGGGATGGGTAGGTCAGATGTACCATTCTTCATCTGAGGGCAAAGCAAGGGGTGCAGCAATTCTGTTACATAAATCTGTTCCCTCTGTTCACTCAACAGTCATTTCTGATTCTAATGGCAGATTCGTCATAGTTACTGGCCACATTCATAACACCCGCGTGGCTTTAGGTAATGTTTATGCTCCCAATTGTGATGATGCCTTTTTTAAACGTCTTTTCTTAAGGATTCCTGATATGTCTTCACACTTTAACTGCTGGCTTAATCCCCACTTGGATCGCTCTTCCGCCAAGGTCTGTATGCCTTCGAGGTCGGCCCGAGTAATTCAGTCTTTAATGAAAGAGATTGCCGTTTCCGACGCCTGGCGCTTTTTTAACCCTTATAAAAAGGAAACATTCCTTTTTTCCGCATGTTCATCATACTTTTACCCGCATTGATTTTTTTCCTGGTTGATAACAGATTACTCCCTTCTGTGTCCGCATGTAAATGTGATGCCATTGTCATATCCGATATCTATGAATATACATTTTAAAAACCGTACTACTACACGTGGCCATGGCTTCTTAATACATGCTTCCTCTCAAATGAAGATTTTGTTGGATTTGTTTCACAGCAAATAGAATTTTTTTTGTGAGCCTAAACAAAACACCTGATGTTTCAGCCTCGGTGTTGTGGGAGGCATTAAAGGCATATATTAGGGGGGAGATTATCTCGTTTGCAGGATATGAGAACAAAATGAGAAAACAAAAACGGACTTATCTGACACAACGCATATCTCAACTGGATAATATGTATGCTACGTCCCGATCCCCAGAGGTATATCCGTACAGGCACAGTCTGATGTCCTTATGACAGATCATACTACCAAACTTCTGCTCCAAACGAGATCCAGGTATTACGAACATGGTGACAAGGCTAGCAAATTGCTAGCACACCAGTTACGCCAGGCATCATCATCTCATCCAATCCAAACAGATTCAGGTGTAACTACTGAACCTCAGCAAATAAATAAGGAATTTAAGGAATTGTCCCTGTACTCGTCAGATCATGGTCCTACTTCTCCCAATTTTGATTTGACGAGTTGGTCATTCTCCCTATTGAACAGTCTGTTGCAAAAGAACTAGAAAAGCCAATTACTATTGCAGAACTCAAAGTAGCTGTGTTTTCTCTTCAAGGTGGAAAATGTCCAGGACCAGATGGTTATCTTTCCAAGTTCTATAAAACATTTTGGCATAAGTTAGCCCCCTTATTATTGGACATGTTTAACGAATCATTTCTCTCTGGTTGCCTCCCTCAGACTCTTACTCAAGCCTCTATCTCTCTCCCCTTGAAAAAAGGCAAGGATCCTGTAGCTTGCTCTTCCTACCGCCCAATAAGTTTGCTGAATGTTGACTTTAATTTGTTATTGAAGCTATTGATGTTACGCCTGGAATCCATTCTCCCATCTATAATCTCTCCAGACCAGACAGGGTTTATTCGTAACAGGCACAGCTTTTCGAACCTTAGACGTCTGTTCAATACAATCTATAATGTCTCCACCTCTAATTCTCAGGAGGCTTTAATATCTTTAGATGCGGAGAAGGCGTTTGATAGAGTGGAGTGGGATTACCTTTTATATAATTTAGAGAAGTTTGGCTTCGGGAAAAATCGTATTTCTTGGGTTAAACTGTTGTACTCCTCTCCACGAGCCTCTGTCAGGACAAATAATCTTCAATCCGAATACTTTCGTCTTTATCGCTCTACTAGACAGGGTTGTCCTTTGAGTCCATTGTTATTTGCGATCGCTATTGAGCCCCTTTCGATAGCACTTCCATCCAACCCCCATATTACAGGTATACTTAGAAGTGGTATAGAGTTGAGGGTTTCCCTTTATGCCGACGACCTACTGTTGTATGTTTCCAACCTGCTCGTTTCTGTCCCTGCTCCCCTTACCACTCTTCAATCATTTGGTCAAATCTCTGGGTACAAATTCAATTTGAACAAAAGTGAGATATTTCCTATTAATACAACTGCTAAGAATGATCCTTTGCACAACTTTCCCCTGTGGCCCAACATAGCTTTACGTACCTGGTTATCAATATTACACATGTGCTTGAGGATCTTTACAAGGCTAACTTTGCTCCCTTGTTGACCAGAATACGAGAGGATTGTGAACGCTGGTCGGTACTCAATTTATCTTTAGTTGCAAGAGTCAATTCCGTTCAAATGAATATTCTCCCCCGGCTCTCATTCTTATTCCAATACATACCACTTTTTCTCCCTCAGACCTTCTTTCATAAAGTGGATAGCTTGGTTTTGGAGTTTGTCTGGAATAAGAAGGTTCCTAGGATGCGCAAACAATATCTGCAGAGGCCTAGTTCACTTGGAGGGTTGTCTTTACCAAACATCAGGTTTTATTATTGGGCTGCCAATATTAGGATTCTTAAATATTGGCTTCAATATGAGGCCCTCGATCCTCCTTTGACGTGGCTGGTTATAGAGGCAAACCCTACCAAACCTGTTTCTTTGAAGGCTCTAGTACACTCCTATTCATTCTTCCACTTCTCCGTATACTAAGAATGTGATTGTTAAAACCTCCCTCAGTATTTGGGTCCAGTTTAAGCATTACTTTGGTTTACAATCACTTTTTGCTTCTGCCCCATTGGCTGCAAATCATGTCTTTCCTCCTTCCCTGGCAGATAGTGTTTTCTTAAGATGGTCCAATCTTGGTATCAATACTTTTAAGGATTTGTATATTGATAAGGTTTTTTCAGCAACTTGCAGACAAGTTTTCTCTTCCCAAACAACATTTGTTCAGATATTTGCAGGTTCGTAGCTTTGCTCATAGCACGTTTCCTATGTTTCCCAATCTACCTAATGTAGATGTTTTCTTGACACCATTTCCAACTTTGAAAGGCTCAATTTCCAATACAACCAAATGTATCTGTTGCAGCCAGAGTCATTCAACTCTATAAAGACCGCTTGGGAGGAGGATTTGGGTGAACCAATACCGGATGAGGTGTGGGAGGAGATTCTAGGACGTGTACACAAATCTTCAATTTGTGCAAGACATTGTATTTATTATACTAAGGCCCGTTTGGCTAGGATCTATGACAGATCTATGACAGTGTATCACCAACCTGTGATAGATGTCGACAATCGGGCTAATTGCCCCAGTGGCACCGAAAGCTTTTACTGCATTGTTTGGGGTCTCCCCCCTCTCCTCCCTAAGTCCAAGAGAGACGTGATAGCTTTTACCACCCTAATGGCTAGAAGGTTGAGATTGATTAAATGGAAAGATAGTATACTGTACCTCCATTTCCTACTCACTGGATAAGAGACATCCTTTTTTTCCTGAAGATGGAAAGGATTAGGTTTTCTTTGAGTGGCTCCTCAAATACATTTGGGAAAATATGGGGCCCTTTTTTCAAATTTGTTAAGAGGATAAAGTTCCCAATCATTCCTGAATAAACTTTTGCATTTTGGAGAGGTCCCAACACTGGAAGGGTTGTCGCGGGGAGGAGGTGCTGCCGTACTGACATTTATTGTTTATTATTTACATTTTTGTTTTAGCTGACTGGTTTTTTATTTGTTTATTTGTTTATTTTTTGTTTGTCTGTTTGTCTTCTGTCTGTGTGGGATTTAGTTTGCCCTGGTGTTAAGCAGTATTTACATTGTTAGTCTACCTATTTTTCTATAAAGTGAAGATTTGTTTACCTACTTTTGATACATGCTCTGATAGAATAACTGTATGCTGTTGAAGAAACCCAATAAACAAAGAAAAAAACCAACTGTATACTTTTGCAGGAGGAACCCTTACCAACTGGTAATCATCATTCAGAAAATCAGAAATCAGATATACCCTTAAATATTCATTTTTCCATAGCCGTTACACTGATCGGCCCATATCATCTGTCCCCCCCCTCCTACCTGGCTCTGCCCGGGTACCCGCTGGTTGTATCTATGCTGGCCCCTACAACACTCTCCGCTCCACAGCTGCTGGCAGCCTCCCAGACCAGAGACAGGCTGGAGGAGGGGTCCCACTCCCCCTGCTCAGAGACACGGGACGGGGCTGCAGGTGGAGCTGAAGGAGCAGCCGTCTGCACAGGAGGTCTTCTCTGCAGAGAATCAAAGTGTGCGGCCCAGAGCTCGTGATCCTCCGTCTGCAGAGAGACACAAATAAAGTAAGGAACATGAAACAAAGGGAAACATTTACTTTATCCAACTCTAGCTTTGAATGTGTCTCTACTGCTTGTAAGCCACATGTTAATGTTTTCTTTTACTATGTAGTTTGTATAATTTAATATTCTGTTGAATTGCAGGACAAAGTCCAAAACCAATTTTCTCATCAATAAATGATCTTATCATATTGTATTCAGGTGCACCTGATTACTAGTGTGTCTCTTCTATACCTGGCTCTGGTTACCTCTGCAAATGAGGTTATGTTTTCGGATTGGTTTGTTTTTTTCTCTGCAGGATAATGGAAATATATTGGCCCATTTCCATGAAACTTGGGTTAGGGGTGTAGCATGGGTCACGAAATAACGCAAAAAAAGTGTGTTGATGATTTGAACCACAGAGCAGACACAGGCAGTATTGTTTTCCATGCATTGTCCGCGTTTCTACCGTCTCTCCTGTACCTGGCTCTGCAGCAGTTTCTCTCGTCTCCTGCGTTCACTCGTCTCCTCCCTCTGTCGGTCCAGCTCCTCCAACCAGCGCCTCCTCTGCTCCTCCCTCCTCTCCGCACACAGCACCTCCTCCATCGGGGTGACCTCCTACAGAGACAAGTCAGGAGGAAAAAAAAGATAATTTTACTTTATTTAAATTGAATGAAAAACACACTAATACTCAATATATTGTAAAATTATTTTTACACGTAAGCATATGCAGTTGTACCCCGAGTCTAAGGCTGGATCTGATGGCTGCAGGCTGATCTCTGTGGCTGATGGAGCTCTGAACTGAATACACACTCTCTGTGTCGTCCTCTGCCTGAAACACACACACACACAAAATTAAGTTTCATATGAAAAAAAAAAAGATTAATAAAGTCTTAAAACTTCAATAACTTAGCTTTGTTTTTCTTTGTTGTCTTTTTAAGTGAGACATTTGGTATTTAATAGGGGATATCAGTCCTGGACAGTGTCCACTTTTTTATTCTTAAGGTCATTTTTAGATATATATTTTTTATGTGTATGGGCAAATAAACCCAACAAAATTAGCGTTCAACTTATGTTACTGTGACGACCCCTGCTTTACTCTGCCCTGTTGTGTGTGTGGCCCTTTAACGATCTCCCTTCGTCCGTATCAGCACTGATTGAGGGCACCTGGCCGCCGGTAGCTGAGGAGTGAAAGGCCCGAGCCAGAGTCTTGCCGCTCTCTCTGTTGGAGGATTTGTTTGGAGAGCAGCTACCTTATTTATGCTTTGGTTTACCTTCATCTTAGTTTGGCATTCAACACCTTGCACCACACCATGTTCACACACCCACACCCACACCTACACTACTGATCTTACTGACTAACACATCCCATTGTGGTAGCTCTTTTGTTAAGTTGAGTTTGTTATAATAAATATCTTTCCTTATATCGTGTCTTTTCCACGTTCTTTGTTATGGCCAAGAGCCAGGCCATGAAAATAACTTGTACTTTGTACTTCATTTTGTCTGAATAATTAAATGGACGAAACGTATTAGCTTATTCACTTTTTCCACAATAATGAAAAATAACTCAAAAGATAAAAACATTTTCATGCCGTACCTGAAGTCTGCCAGGAGCTGAACTCTGCTGCTGCTTTAGAGCCACTTGCTCATCTAATACACAAATACGACACACAAGTATATGTTAAAAAATCAAACAAGTTTCAAATTCAGTATATTCAAATTCAATCCTAAACTTTTAAATAAACTGTAAAATGTAGCTACATTTCTAGATTTTGCACAAAAAGCCAAACACGGTTTAACTTGAAAAAAGAAATATGTAACTTTAGCTACTAAGTGTTCAAATTCTTCCATCAGATAGTCTCTACCTCTTTCTGTTGTTGGGAGCAACTGGAAAAACTAATGTTTCATAAAACCAAAACTAGGATGCAAAAAAACTTAAACAATTGGTAAAGGTGTGTGTGTGTGTGTGTGTGTGTGTGTGTGTGTGGTGTGTGTGTGTGTGTGTGTGTGTGTGTGTGTGTGTGTGTGTGTGTGTGTGTGTGTGTGTGTGTGTGTGTGTGTGTGTGTGTGTGTGTGTGTGTACCTAGTTCTCTCCTCCACTGAGCCTTCTTGGCATCGATGGTTGCTCTGCTGAGGGACTGTCGCTCCTCCAGCCAGCTAAACGGACATCCAGACAACCTGAACAGCAGTTCTGTTTATAACCACTACTTTACATACACAGATTTCTACACATTCATTGGAGAATACTGAGGCTGACATGCACTTCTAGTGTTTGGATCTACACCTACAAATATGTAAATTACTGTACATTTTCTAAATAGCAAACTATTAATTATAAATATATTCAAATAATCCTTTTAATGTTTGTAAGCTCAAGAGAAATCAAAAATCGTTTTGTGTCAAATCTTGTTGATGTCGGCTGCTCACCTGTTGTCTTTATCCTGAGATGTTGCAGTATTATCTGTTCCTCCTCCTCTGTCTTCCTCCTTCATCTCTCCACTTCCTCCTCCTCCATTTATTAAGGATCCAGTTTTGGAGTCTGTTAAAGGGATAGTTCCCCCCCAAAATATGTAAAGTTACATATTTGTACCTCTCAACTGAAGTGCTATACATAGATTGCTTTGGAGGGAAAACTGTCGTATAGATGTCTGCTTTCTCTTAAAAATAAATGAAAAAGGTGGCACTTGGCTTGTGGTACACCAAGCACTACTTTTGAAACATTGAACAGCAATGTCATTTCCAGAAATAATTACCCGGTTTATCCAATATTTTGCATCTACTCAAGGACAAGTGGCTCGTGCTCGTTTGGTTGAAAGAAAGTAGTTCCTACTTGAAACTGCTACTCGTAAACAGGTCATGATTCCTGTTGAGTTTCTTTGTTGCTTTGACACCACAAGCTGAGTGCCATCTAGTTCCATTTTATTCTATAGAAGGCAAACACATCTACATCCATTATTTCCAACACTCTGCCAATCCCAGCAAGACATCTAGATTGATAAATAGCTCAACAGGTAAGAAGAAGAATATTATCAGTAGTATTTTTGAAATTCAAGCATATTCCTTATATTGAAAACTGAAACAGAATTTTTTTTGCAATTTCCAAACGTTCAAGATTTGTACCAACTCCAAACAGTATAACCAGAACTAGCTATTGGTTTTCTACTTTCTCCACTAGCTTTCTTTACAAAAACATGCCTGTTTGTTTTTTGGTGCTGCTGGAAACACTGAGACTGAAACAAACAGTAAAACTAAACTAGAGTTTAAAGAGACTTAAACATTTTTTTAAACTGGTGAGGTTGTCAGTATAATACATATGAATATACATTAACGGAGTTGAAATGGTGAGGCCTAATTAAACATATTTAATTCAGATTTTGGGGTTAAACTTTGCTTTGCTTTACTAATCACTGCTATCACTTTAATTCTAGCATCACTACTCCTACCCTGGCTCCTGGGATCCTCTGGTGTGTGTTGGCTCTGGTTGGAGGTGTGGACGCTGTGGAGGATGTGCTGCAGCTGCTCGCTGGTCAGACACACCACACTGTCCTTCAGTCCTGCGTGTCCACCGGCCTGCGAGTCCTTCAGTCCCACCTTCCCATCGGCCTGTGATCCACTGCTCTGAGGCTGAGCTGTTTTCCCATTGGTTCTCAGGGAGCCAACGGTCATGCTGTGCTTATGTCTGTCTGACTTCACCTTCACACACACACACACACACACACACACACACACACACACACACACACACACACACACACACACACACCACACACACACACACACACACACACACACACACACACACACACACACCACACACACACACCACACACACAACACACACACACACACACACACACACATACACATACACATGATATATGATGTGTTTTTGCTAAATACATATCTTAAACGTGGATATATAGTCTTAGGGTCTCTAATAATAAAAGTAGGAAAATGGCATCAATTTAATGTAATGCAGCCTATAAAGCCAGGAAACACTTATGTCATACGATACTCACAATATTGATAGAATATTCGCTTTATCTCTTAAATAAATTGTTTTACTATTCTTGCCTTTTTCAACACTACATTGTTTTTCATCTATTGTCTTCCAAACCTGATGATTTCAGACTTGTTTGTCTTATTTCCCTGTCTTTGTGAAGCACTTTGTTGCATGGATTTTGAAAAAGTGCCCCCTAAATAAAATATTTATTATTTTATTGTTATTACTTTGGCAACAACCTTGACGTTGCCCCCTTTGAGATAATCATGTGTCTTGGATGAGGCAAGTGTGGAGCTCCTCCCTCCGGTGGTGGTGTTGGAGGTGAAGGAGGCGGCTGCTCCTCCTGCTTTGCTCTTGGTTTCTCTACGCCTCCCCAGCTGCTGCCGGGCTGGACGCTCCCCCCCCTGCGCCTCCTCAACACAGGACGGCTGCCTGGAGTTCAGGATGTTAGCCGCTCTGGGTTTGAAAGACAGCTGCTGGAATACAGGTAAATAAAATCATATTAGACAAAACTATAAAAGATAAGTTTACATTTCCTATGAGCATACCAATAGATATCAATTGTTACATATTTTTATTTTACCAGGTGTTCCTATTAACTTTGATTTTATGTTTTGATCCTGATCATTTGATGCTTAGTTTGCAGGAGACGGCAAATAAATAAGACGATTTAATGTTTCATGTAAAATATTAAAGAGGCCGTATTATGCTTTTTGGGGTTTTCCCTTTCCTGTAGTTCTCCTGCCTGAAACGCCTCGATTGGAATCCTGTGTTTACTTCCGTAACATAGTGACATTACTTTGTATCACTCGTGCTTCTATTGGCTAGCGCTCCAATACATTGTATGTGAGTTGCCGAGGGGCGGCCAGCTAACCACTCAGAGCAGACTGGGCTCAAGGTGCACATTGGTAAAGGAGGATTCCTACCTTTGCTGGATTCTTCTCAGCGCCTGCAATGGAAGAAAGACGTGACAGTGAGCAGCTGTGGATATTACACAACATACACAGGTGCAAACGTGCTAATCCTATCAAAGGACAATTTCACAAATGAATGCCTTTTGTTACATGTATTACATTTCTGCAAAATTGCACTAAAAGACAGCCGAAAGCTCTCACCATGACTGAGTAAAATCAACTTGGGTTTTCCATTTTCAAGTTCAAACAGCAGGCCGTCTCTGTTCACAAAAAAAGGGAAATACTATTACATAGAATTATTTAGCACACAAAGAATTTGACAATATGTAAAGGCCCAATTATGCTTTTTGGGGTTTTCCCTTTCCAGATTGAGTTTCACTCCCACACCCTGTTTGACATGCTTAAATTAACTCCTTTGTTTCATTCTGTAACATGATGACATCACTATGTAACATTGGCTAACGCTCCCAAACATTGTACGTGAAATGCTATAGACATTTCTGATAACATCCCTAAGTGTTTGACCAATCACAACAAAGCAAGGCAGCTAACCAATCAGAGCAGACTGGGCTCTGGTTTCAGACAGAGGGTGAAAAGAGGTGCAGCAGCACAGGCAGTATGAGAAAATAAAGAGCTTTTTTGAACATTAAAGTATGGAAACATGTCACAGTAGAGACACAAAATATAAATATGAACCTGAAAATAAGTATAATATGTCCTCTTTAATTTTTTCAAGTGGCTAGTGTTTTTAAGGTCTTGTGTTTTAATGCTCTCTCACTGCAAACATAATTTCCTCTTTTGGAAACTGATGTCCAAACTGAACAGGCATCTCCGTAAATGAGTGCTGAGTTAGTGCTGAACCCAGCAGTAACTACATCGTCACATATTTTTATTTATTTAAGTTGTTCCGTCTAAATGACCTACATCAGATATACCAAAACATTGTGTATAACTGGACTTCCCCCTTTATTAATGAATGTATTAATTAATCAATAAACTATTCCGTTTTTTGTTTTGTTTTAGTCCTACAAAGAGTATTTATTATTAACACCTGGATTAATGTTATATTTACAGCTGCACTGCCCAGCGTAACTTCTGTACATGTCCATACTGTATATCATATCATAGCATATTCATTTAATACTGTTTATAATGTACATGCGCATGGGCGTAATTTCCACTGGGGACAGGGGGGACATGTCCCCCCCACTTTTCAAAATCCCATTTGTGTGTCCCCCAATTTTTTTTGTGAGAGAGAGATAGAAAGAGAGAGAGACAGAGAGAGAGAGACATAGAGAGTTACGGGGGTTGTTGTTAGCATTTGGTGCTAGCTCGGAGCTAATGGAGATTAGTAGCTGTTTCAACAATAAGGAGAGGGAGAGCTCTTTCCTGTCGGACTTTGAGAGACTGAGAGAGAGAGAGAGAGAGAGAGAGATAGCGAGTGAGAGAGGAGAGGAGAGAAAGAAGAGGTGAGAGAGAGAGAGAAGAGAAATAGAGAGAGAGAGAGAGAGAGAGAGAGAGACAGAGAGAGAGAGAGAGAAGAGAGAGAGAGAGAGAGAGAGAGATGAGAGAGAGATGAGAGAGAGAGAGGAGAGAGAGAGAGAGAGAGAGAGAGATGAGATGAGAGAGAGAGAGAGAGTTACGTGGGTTGTTGTTAGCATCTGGTGCTAGCTCAGAGCTAACGGAGATTAGAAGCTGTTTCAACAATAAGGAGAGGGAGAGTCCTCTCAGACTAGGTAAAATAAAGATAGGAGAGAGGAGTTTATCAATGATTTGTTATTGCTTGTGAGCATATTCTAATGGCTTTTTGATTATTGAAATATATACAGTTCTGTTTCATATGAGTGTTGAGAACTGTATCCATAAATCTCTTAATGTTGCCCTCAAAGTGCACCAGATTGATGCATTCAACTTCAATTTAAAGAAACAAATCTTCCCGGGGTGCATTGCCCCCGGACCCCCCTAGAGGATTGTCAGGTAATCACAAATTAAAACAGGTTCACATGGATAGGATACTAGATAAGTGTGCACACTCATTATATACACTACACATTTTTCTTGGATTTGTTAACACTATAGTCCCTAATATATTTGTAGAAAGGCAGGAAATGGAATTAAATTGAGAAAATATTTCATTGCGGAGGACCCCCTGTTTTGTGTCCCCCCCACTTCTCAAACCAAAGTTACACCCTTGTACATGCGTAGCGGGCTCACATTTATCATAATGTTGAATATTGTATTTATCATATATTCTATTCTTCATATACTGTGTACATCACTCTGCTCTGTACTGCTATTTAAATTCTGGCTAGATGCTAAACTGCATTTCGTGGTATTCACTAACTGTACATTGCTTTGCTTGGAAAAATGCTGCTTTATTCACACAGGAACTCCAAATCACACTTGTTACTCATTAATGACATATCCTATGCCTGTATTATGTGTTTGTATTTATCTTGTTTTTCTTTAACCTTTACCCTGAGTCAATGCAATGCTAAAAAGTGTGCCTTGGCATTTTCTATCTTCTTTGCAGGGACAGAAGCACATTATTGTTTGAGAGATTATTGCCATCACCTTTATTGACTAATAACATCAAACAGCTAATGCTGTGTGGGTTACAGTCTTAACCACAGCTCCTTTATATTATCTGCAATGTGCACGTATAACCACTAATGTTGCGTGTGTTACTACAAGAGTTTTCTTTCTTCAGTTTGGTCGCAAGCTATAAAATAATCCAAGTGCATTTCACTGCGACACACACGGCCAGTGTGTTAGCATTGCTAGCTAGTAGCTCCCACTAACGTGAGGAAAGGGGACTCACCCGAGATTCATGCCGGCAGAAATGTGTTTTTACCGTTTACCGAAACCGTTATGACATAAGAAACAGTCGGTTAACACATATTTTATTATTAATTTAATAATAGGGCTTCTGTCCAGCTCTGGACTGACCACCCTGCCAGTCACACCACAGTTCCTGGTTGTTAAATTGTGTACATTGGTTACAGACAACGACCAAGAACGGCTTCACTGATTGGCTAAATCAGTGTAACTGTAAAATGGACGGCCAATCAAACGTCTCATTTGGATGTTTACTGTACGTTGGACGTAGTTGCGTTTTGTGTGACTGGGAATTTATTTAAAACGATATAATCAAGAACGAAAATAAAGCGATTACTAACGTTTACTAAGGCTTACAATTACTATGTTTATGACACGGCAGTTAATATACCTACATAATTCTGTCTGACATAATAGGGACTATGAATTGACATTACACACAGTATCCCACTGCATTATACAGCATGTGCCTTTTCAAAAAGGCCAGTGAAGGCAACCTTTACTTGCATTCAGAGGCCACTTTATCAGATACACATGTTTATCAATGAGGGAAAACATAATATGAAATGTTTTTCCCCATATGATATTCCTCCCCCCTTTTTTTTTACATTAAAAACACCAATCAATGTGAGTGCATATATAGAAGAGGTATAATACAGTAGTGTTGCAGTAAGAATTAAGTATGATCCATCAGCCAGAAGCAATAGTGCTTATAATACCAATTTGAATAATGATACAAAATAAAGATGATCTATGTGTTTATGTCAATTGATTATAGTTAAGCATTGAATATAATATGAATTATACATAAAATATGCCACTTACAGGAGTCAGAGGTCGTCAGTTTAACTTAGGATAGAAAAGGGGTTCCTCAAAAGTTTGGGAACCACTGCCCTAATCTACAAGACAATATTCCAGTGGTGGACAATATTTAAGTAAGTTTACTCAAGTACTGTACTAAAGCGACATTTTGAGATACTCTTACTTTACTTGAGTATTTCAATGTATTCTACCTCACAACATCTTAGAGGCAACTTAAACTCCACTATATTTATTAAATAATCAAATGAAAAGGTAAAGTAAGGTGTACAGAATAAACGCTTTTCTTTTCTGGGCTATATGTGAATTTGATGGTAATACATTTACCTGAGTATTATGTTGATTGCAGGTCTATTCCAATACTAATGGTATTTCTACACAGTGGTATTACTACTTTTACTTAAGTAAAAGAGCTGAGTAGTTTGTCCGCCACAGATATTTTCTATCATTATGTGATATTCAATAAATCCAATGAAACAAGTAGAAGAGGAGGAGGCAGTTCCAGTGACAGGCGGTAGGGGGCGCCAACCCGTCGCAGTCGTGGAAATGAACTGTAAAAGCCAAACAGGCTGCGTTAGCTTCACTGTAATGACGTTAGCCTGCTGGATGTTTTTTTCTGCCGTTAATGATTTTGGATACTGGGGACCGACATCCATGAGCCTCTCCGATCTTTTGAAGCACAGCCACCGTGACCTCCTTGAATTCAGCCCCAGTACCGGGCAACCCTGAAGGTATGTTGTTATTGTGACAGCTCGCTGCCTCTATCCGGAGACACTGCGTAACGTCAAACCGTTATGCTAGCTCTTTAGCTAGCGTTAGCATGCAAGGATACTTAAACGGCAAAACTAACGTCAGTGTTTTCCATCAGTGACCGGGACACCGAGCGGCGGTTGAAGGAGAATTTTAGATCGAGATGTCACGAAGCGGTGTTAAGTTGTATTCGCAATGTAAGCTGTTTTAGGCTATTTTTGCTGACTTAGCCTAGCTAGCGTGTTGTCAGGCTAAGGTCAAGAAGCTGCTGGCCATTCTGACAGCTAACGCTAACTAATATGGTACCCAGGGGTCTATAAACGTGTAATATGTGGCAGATAGCCACGCTGCTAATAGTTAACGCTGGCTATTATCAGGTTTAAACTGGGAGCTGGGCTGGTGTCGTATTCAAGATGAAAAGGTAGGTATCTAAAAGTTTAATTAGCTTAAAGCTAGCTCGGTGTAAATATAATTAATGGAGGAGGTTTCTAGATGGACTGTCTGCTGTAATGTATTGTGACAAACATATTTGCAGTAGTAACTAGGTTGTTGTTACTGTATGTCGTGGTGCAGTGAAGGTTTAATTTGTACTAGGTTTATTTTTTTTCTGTTGCACTGTGCGCGATGATGCCCATGCTGCTATATGTTATCATACAACTGATATGGAACTGTCTTATCATTCTGCTCCACAAACGACCATAGTGTTAGTAAATAAATAGACCGACATCCACCATTTAGGTACTTCCTGTCATATCAACCATAGTGACTCGAGGATGTGATGCTTTTTGACCTATATGTAATGCTGAATATCATGCTGAAAAAAACAACCAGTCTTTTCTATGTAATACATGCAGCTGGCTTCACATGTGACTGTTTAAATGTATTAATGTCAACATTTGAGGGGACACTTCCTTGCCTGGTTATTGTCAACTAAGTGGATTTCAAGGGCATGTGTCCAGATCTCCATACCTAAACGTTTGGGATTTTAATAAAGGGAAATGTCTATAAAATATAGTTTTCTTAGTTACAAATAGTATGCAAAGGTATGGAATATTTCTTTAGATATTTATAATGCTTAAATCGAGTTATTCTTTGAAGATCCAAAAGGTAAAACTATATTAAAGACCTGACTAACGTATCATCTTCCTTTCCTCTTCTTAATATGAATAGTTGGACATCTAAGCTCCCTTGTTTTTAACTGTATACATGTTTTTGTATTGAGGGCTTATGTAAGAAAGTCATACACAAAATGTATTTGAATGTAAAACATTTGAAAAGATTGTCTATGTGGCACAATATGTTTTCCCCCCAAATCTATTTGGTTGCTACAGACTTATTACATGAAAAACATAAGCCCCATTTTGTGCTTATTCTCTTTTTTTATATATATTCAAACCAATTCTATCAATTTGGAGGAATGTTTATTAAATGTTTACACTTATCGTGGGGCATTACACATCTTGTACTTAAAGATTTATAACGATGCTATGTTGCAATTTTATATTGATTGTGTTTTAAATCGTTCTTCAATGGTAAACAAAAGGTCAGTAAATCTCCACCTCTAAAACCTCAACATTTTTTCGTGTGCTGCTGCACTACGTTTTTCAGAATATAAACAAACCTCATCTAAATGGAGTGCCTGTACTGTACCTGAAAGATATGCGTGTACTGTTCTGTCAGCTTGATGAAGTATAATTTAGATTTTAGATTATAATCTGATCATTTAGCCTTTTCTAGGCAACCAACCAAACTCTGGAGTACTTTTACCCAAAACCTTGAGTGCTCCATTTAGTCTAATCTTTTCTTTGCCTTTTTTTAATAATGGAGAAAGACAGATACAGGAGCGTGCAGACTTTGGGCTTCAGCCTGCCTTTTTGGTCCCAAAGATGTGATAAATGGTACATGATCTCATCATGTATTTGAGTAAATGATGTTAATAAAAAACACACGTATGTAATGTCATAGAAGAATTCAGATGACTGAATTACTTAAAGGGCAAATATTTCCCAATTGAAGTAACGACTGCAGTGAGTTTTTAAATTGTTTAAAAGAAGACTGTCTGCATGATCAACAATTACCAATGAATTCACAAACATCAGACACACAGACCAAAATTGGCCTGCCTTAAGGTTACATTTGGCCTTACAGATTACAGAAGTGATTGTGGTGTAACTCTTGATATGTCATATCACTGTTTAGTCTATTTTATTTCTTTTGTGTTAAAAATCCTTTTATTATTTAGAGATATTCATAATTTGTTCATAATCTGAGCAAGGCAAGCAAATAACAGTTTGCACGGGAAATGTATCTGAATTGACACTGTCACTTGTGTTCGTTTAATGTAACTACACGTTTATTATTCAGGTAATGATGTTACGCTGGACTGCATTTTATGGAGATGTTCCGTTATTTACATTTTTTTGCAAATTACAAAATGAGTTTTAATTAGGGCTGTGCGATTATGGCAAAAATCATAATCACGATTATTTGGGTCAATAATTGATATCACGATTATTAAATACGATTATTCATTGACTTTGAAAAAATCCATTTAATGAACTTTAAAACAAATAATAATTTGAACAGTATCTTTTTAACTGTTGATTACCCTGAACGTATAATTCAACTGAAAAACCAATACAAAAATAAATGATACATTTAAATAAATAATATCAAAATAATAAATACCAATCAACAAGATCAACAAATATTTTGGAGCGCACTTCCCCAAGCTACTAAACATATATAAATATGATAAATACAAATAAATGAGACCAAAATTAATTAGATCAAATATGTTGCACTGTCACAACCTAGCAAAGCTAAATAATTGTTTTTTTCGATTATGTTGTTTTCGTAATTGTGGCAGGCCAAAATCGTAATTGCGATTAAAATACGATTAATTGCACAGCCCTAGTTTTAATCACATACCAATACCACAATTTTGTCCACAAAACATAAAACTTAACTTGGGTGTGTGTTGCTGACATGAAAGTCTCAGTTGTTGCGGTAACGCCGCAGTCGGTGGTTAGCGGTGAGAAAGGAGTCCAGATGGCTTGTGTGTGGTCTTAGTCGTTGTTCTGACTGATTGACGTTGTCTCTCTCAGACGATTGTTGATAGGACGGTTTGTTCTTCTAGAACTGTGTGTGTGTGCATGTGTGTGTATCTGTGTGTAGTTACACAGCAGCTGTTGATTTGTGTCAGGGGACATAAGCCGCAGCTGTGCATGCGTTTTCGTGTTTTTCCCAGTTGTAGTTTGTGATTTCTGTAGAAAGACAGATGTGTTTGGGGTGTCTCTCCCACAGCGCTGCATGATACGGAAAATGAGCCGGATCCCTTTCCCTGCACTACTTTCTCCGCTCCTTCCCTGCCTCCTTGTGTTGATCAGTATCTCATACTTTGTTTAATTGCTTCCTCTGTACTTCATTGGTCCTCATTTCCTTCATAACTCCTTTCTCACTTTTACTCCCTGCAGCACATCCTCCATCATCATGATTTCCTTTCATTCATTCACTTCCTTTCATCCATCTCGCCACGATTAGTCGCTCTACAAAAAAAAAAGCCAACTATTTTGATGATCGATTTATTGTTTAAGAAGTTTTTCCTGCAAAGATGGCAGTCTCTCAAATGTTGAGATGTCTTGCTTTTGTATGCTTCAAACAGAAGAATACAATTTAAAAAATCTAGGATGAACACTATTTTCTTACATTTCTATCGCAAAATAGTCCATAATGAAAATAACCCTTCTATCACAGCCTGTTTTTGGAGCGTCCCTGTTCTTAATGTTCCTCTTATTTGCTTCCTTACGTCTTTCCTTCCTTCACAACCTCCTACTTTCCTTTTACTACTTCCTGTCTATCCTTCATACATTCCTTTTATTTTTTCCTATTTCTCCATTTATCATCCATCACACTTAAACCAACATCTCTATTTCTTCCCTTCCTCTTTTCTTTGGGTTTGTGAGTTTCTATCATAGTGTGTGTTTGTGAGTGTGTGTCAGCAGTACCTACCTCCATCCCATATTTAGCATCATTTACTGGTTATGCTACGCTTCACTAATGCATCCACTCAGCAATAAAACATGCTCATAGATGCTGAGTTAAGACATTATGATGGGAACGATGATGATGATGATGATGATGATGATGATCTCTTGGCTCTTGCACCTGACTTTCAAATCATTCTTGGATATATCTTGAACATTGAATTGGTCAAATTGGGACATTGCAATGCTTTGAGTTGACATTGCAGACCAGAAAGTTTTTCAGTTGCATTATTACATGTATTATCTGTTGAAATGCATAGCTGGATTGACAGTCATTTCTTGCAGTAGGTGTATGTTTTACGTAGGGCTGCAACCAAGGGTTATATTATATTTTTTCTATTAATGTATTACTTTACTAAAACCTTTGCTTTAAGAAGTTAAAACAATAACATTTTGGTCTGTTCTGCTTTCAAAAATAATAGTTTTTACCTCATTATTCAGTCTGAAATAGTGTTTATTTTTTCCTTTTCTTTGCTAAGAGCAGTTAAGGATAATAGAAACATGTTGATTCAAGAGTTGTCATAACTGTTAATTGATTTAACAACAACCTTTACAGCTACGTCCATTATAACAACTTGTCACCATGTCTGTGGCTGTTGTCATTTCACAATAAGGTAACCGCTGTAAATATAATATATTCACTTTGCCTCATAACTTAATCTCTTATTAAATATTCCCAGTATTAGGACAATTATTTTCCAGCTGTGTTGATATTTATGATTTAGGCTAATTTGTTGCTTTACCATTGTTTAAGATGTTTGCAACTGTATATGAGTGTGATTGACCTCTGACAGATAATAACCTGGTGACCAAACACCTGTTTTTGTATGCAGGTGGATCAGGTGTCTTTGTTGATTGTAAGCACATTTGGTCAGCTGTGTAAAATAAGTGTTTTGTTGGTGAGAGACACATTTTTGCAATCCACTTTGCTGCGA